CATAACTAATGAAAAAGGAATTCCCGTCTAATAATTAAACAAAAAAAGAACACCAGTATCTATAAAATAGCTTCATGTCATCCACAATAACTTGAATAGGTGTACCTCTCAATCTGCAATCCACAATATTTAAGAAATATTATTCTGACTAAAGTATAGCAAACTAGATACCAATCTGTAATTCCGCAAGCAAAACTCATGTTTGCAGCTTATGTGACCAATCAAGTTGAACTGTCATAAGAGGTGCTAGTAGTGAAATGAATCCCTACAATTTGGTGAAAGTTTTAACCATATTTATTCATTGAATCTGAAAAGCTAAAGAGAAACTCCGAAAATAAATTATATGAAAAAAAAACCCGAACTTAGGGGCTAGGATCAGTTGTCTTCCTTTGGAGACAGATGCTGACAAGGCAAGCTAGGGTTGTAAGGGTACTCATAGTACTCTAACAAGGGAATTAATAGATGGGTCTCAGCCCATTCGAAAATTAATTCTTTAGAAAATCACAAAAGCCCACCTCATGGGATGACAAGCATAGGAGTTTAGTACCACATTACTTATTCTACGAGAGGAAGACCTCCTTATAAGGGAGGATGCTCTTCTAGTCATTTGAAACATGTGATGTGAAGAGAAGAGGGTGAACACAGGCGCGTGCTTGCTCGCCTGACATGGCGTGGCAGCGCGTGTGCATGACGTTATGCGTCGAATGGTCCGCCAAAAAGTGGTTCTTCACCCTTGCGCAGATGCAACCTCCTTTTGCACAGATGTAACCTCTTTTTGCAGTTTTGTTTTGCACGGGAAATTCGGATTTGTTTGTTTTGGAAACACTCCAAAAAATCAGGTGCGTGAAAAAGCGTAGAGTCCGGATAGTTTTGTTTTGCCGTGGGAAATTCGGACTTGTTTGTTTTGGAAACACTCCGAAAAATCCAGTGCGTGAAACATCGTGGAGTCCAGATAAGTTTCGCGCGACTTATCCGGTTTGGTTACACGGAGCAGAGATCATGTAGGCATCCTGATCAAGCGTCCTGATATCTCTATATAAGCTGAGCTGCCGCCTCCACGCAACACACACGAAATTAATCTAGGGTTTGCCTCCTCCTCTGTACTGCGTCGTCACTCGTAGTCTACTCCATCCCGCTCGTCGGCGTGCACGGCAATCGGGAGAGCAGGTCTTCGGAACCTTCGCCTTCGACGTCCTGCACCAGAAGAAGGCAGCAATATGGTTTTTGAAAGCGCTTCGCGTGATTGCTCCCTGTTCGACCACAACGGCTTGTCTTCCTCTTCGCTCGTGTGCTGCGCACCGTCGTCAACACCCGCACCTGGGAGTAATTCTTGCTAAGTAACCGGTCTTCCGGTACCCTTGTTACGTGTTCAGCATGTTGCGCATATTCGATTTATTTATGCTTTACTGTCTAGTTTACATGTGTAGATCTAATGATGCGTTCATGCTAGTTTACATCTGCAATGTTATGATTTATTTATGAAATAAATTAAATCATTATGTTCTTATAACTTCAACAGGTACTAGGTCGGGTATCGTTATCAGACCTGGTATCAGACTTGGTACTTTGGTATCAGTAGGTATCGGACTTGATACCTCGTACCTGATGTGATATCTAGATTTCGTGTTGATGTCAGCATGGTGTCATCATATAAAGTATCGGGTGGTTTAATGAGAGGAATCCCGCATATGCTCGAGGGTATGGTTAAAAAGAGCTTAGGGGTATTTAATTTGTTAGATTCATTAAAAGTTATCTCGTGCTCTAGCTATTCTCATTAAAAAAAAGGTATAAGTTAGGCATCCTGACCTCATAAAAAAGATAATTTAGAGTATTTACCATCCAATTCGCGTGCCTCAACTCTTTTACAACCCAATCCGTATGCCCTCTATAATATATCATTAGGACTACTAATTAGTCTATTTGGTACCACTTTCTCAGTTTTTGATGTATTTCTCATTTCTTAAATCAATTTGTATTTCTTTCCAGGCATTTTGGACTGTTTTGCCCCTAGGCCCACTTGTCAGATCAAAGGGTGAGATATCCTTTGGAGTCTGGATCGATCGATCTGAGCGCCATCGACATCCACTCCGGCGCCGCGAGCATGAGGGCCACCACCCCGCCGGCCCAGTCGATGCCCCACCGCCACCAAGCGCCGCCGCCTGCCCTCGACGCCCCGCACATCACTCCGCCGCCGCCGAGCGCCCCCACCGCCACAGTTTGCCGCCGGCCCAGCTCCCGCTGGCACCAAGCTCATGTTTTACTTTTTCTGCAGGAGACTGCAGTTACTATGTTTCTTGCATAGCATTGAGACACATAGTTGCTTCGTTACTCTCAGTCTCTGACCAGCATTGTCGTTGTGCTCCATCCCGATCAGCATGCAGCTGATGTCATTCTAGCTAGAATTGATAGCCAAAGTTACTGATGTAGTTAACTGACAGGCAATTTATATCACCAAGAACTGAACATATGATCAACTATCCATCTTCCTTTCTTCAGATTACATAACCCAAACAGGAACAAGTGCAAACTGAAGATGTCTGTATTTTTTTAGAGAAAAGGCTCAAGAGCCCGGCTTATATTGAAAGCCAGAAGGTATGCTGGGGAAACCAGCCAGCGTTTTATAGCGCAGGAGGGCAACGCCTCGAAACAAAAGAACCAGAACTCTAGAACATCTTAAACCAACGACAGGTTAAAGAAAAAGAACAAAAGCTCGCAGCCTCTGAAGAACTACATCAAGGACTGAAACAGACTAGCCAATTCCTGCTCTGGTCGCGCCAACATTTGTAACAGCAGATTTCAGTTTCTCGGTCAGGGCCTCCATCAGGGCAGCTTCATTCGCGTGACTTAAACCCCTCCACTGTAACATGTAAGAAACAATTCGAAAGGGGAGCATTAGTGGTGAGTAAACAGTCCGCGATCTAAAAATCATATCATTTCTGGTAGTCCAGAGGACCCAGGAAATAGCAGCGAGTAAGGCCAGATAAGTACTAAAACTCTTCAGAGAAGTGTGTTTAATCAGAGAAAAGAACTCCTCAAAGCTGTTAGGCACAGAGTGCCACCCAAAAGCATCTCTACAGACACACCAAATGAAGGTGGCCATGGGGCAGCTAAAGAGAATATGTCTTGTGGTTTCTAGTGAGTTACATAGCACACAAAGTTCAGAACCTTCCCAACCTTTTGTTTTCAATTGTTCACACGACTGGATTCTATCTCTAAGTGCTAGCCAGAGAAAATGTTTTATCTTCATAGGGGCAGGGCATCTCCAGATGGCATGCATTTTCTCATCTCTAATTCCTCTGAACGATAGAGCCCTATAGAGAGATTGTGTAGTGTACTGTTTGTTAGGTGTCAACGCCCATCTCATAATATCTGGGGAGTTAGAAAGCTCCAAGTTATCAAATAAATCACATAACTGCCTCCATTGATCAACCTCCTGAGGACCAAAAGATCTTCTAAAAGTAAATATCCCCAAGCCCTTTGTATTCACCTCTGCAATTGTAACCTTTTGCTGATTACAGATTTTGAAAATCTCAAAGAAAGCAATATTTAAAGGGTAGGAACCAACCCAAAGGTCCAGCCAAAAGTAAAAATGAGTCCCATTTCCCAGTTGCCACACAGAACCAAACTTCATCCACTTTCTAGTGTTAAGAACACCTGTCCAGAATTGAGAGACCCCTTCAGTAGAGCATTGAAAAACTCCTCCTTGTAGAAGGTATTTCTTCCTTAAAAGCTCAACACAAAGGCTCTTGTCTTCAGATTCAATTTTTGTTAACCATTTGGCAAGGAGGGCAGTGTTAAACAGTCTTGTTTCAGTGAAGCCTAAACCTCCAAAATCTTTGGGGAGTGCTAAGTCAGCCCACTTCACCATATGATATTTCCTCCCCTGTTTATTGCCAGCCCAATAATATCTACCTTTCAAAGAGTCAAAATTCTAGTGAACACCCTCGGGGAGTTGGTAAAAGCCCATGGCATATGAAGGAATAGAGGATAGGCAAGAGTTAATGTGAACAACTCTTCCAGCATAAGATAAAGGGCCTGCCCAATTTCCCAACCTCTTTTCCATTTTGTGGGGTAAGAACATCAGGTCTTGTTTAAGAATCTTATCAGGGCTAATTGGTAATCCCAGGTACTTCATAGGAAACTTCCCAATGGGACAATTAAGCATCTTTGCAACTCTGATGGTTTCATTCTCCTCAAGCCCCACAGTAAAAACCTCACTCTTGTGGTAATTAATCTTCATGCCGGCCATCTCCTCAAAACAGTACATGATAAATTTTGTAATGGTGATCTGGGAATTATCAAAGGGTATAAAAATCACAGTATCATCTGCATACTGCAAATGAGTCAGACCTCCTGGACAAAGATGGGGAACTAAACCTGAGAGGATCCCTGATTGTTTGGCTCTATCAAAAGAGGCTGCTAGGGCATCACTAACCAGATTAAAGAGAAGAGGGGAGAGGGGGTCACCCTGTCTAAGCCCTCTATAAGTGCTAAAGAAATTGCTTCTCTCACCATTGATGTTAACACAGACCCTCCCCCCCCCCCCCCCAACACAAGCTTTAATCCACTCAATCCACTTAGAAGGAAAACCCTTAAGTTTCAAGATTTCAAAAACAAAGGACCAGCTCACTTTGTCATATGCTTTTCAAAGTCAATCTTCCAAATAATACATCTCTGTTTTTTGGATTTCAACTCATGCAAGATCTCATGAAGGATAACACAACCCTCTAGGATGAATCTACCTAGGATAAAAGCTGTCTGGGTGATAGAAATCATGTCATTAGCCACCTCTGTGAGTCTGAGCGTGACCACTTTACTCAGAAACTTAAAACAGTCATTGAGGACACAGATGGGTCTGAATTGTTTGAAGATGTCTGTATTGTGCCGCTGAAAGCCTGAAACTAAACCAATTTCCATGCAGATTCCCGTTCTTCCAGCTGCCATTCTGAACAACATCGCATGGAAAATTGCTACCAATTTCAGATATGTACACTCCCATAAACAATCAAATATGTCTATGTATATAGTATACACAATACATGAACTAGTACATCAAAATATGAACAATCAATGAGTAGTGCCCCAATTCTCTGTCCTCTATATTAGAGTGTATTTACACATAGTATAAGCAAATATGTGTTTTTCCAACTGAAACACTGAAAAAGAACAAACTACAGCTTGGTGGCGGCAGTGGGGCGTCGAGTGCCGACGGCGCCCAGCGGCGGGGTTGGCGGCGCCCGGCGGCGGAGTGGTGGCGGCGCACGGCGGCGGGGGTGGTGGCGGCGAACAGCGGCGGGGGTGGTGGCGCTCACGGCCGTGCTGAGCGACGCCTGGAGACTGGAGGGATCAATCGATTGAGAGAGGAGGAAACATCTTCCTTTGATCTGACAGTGGGCCCAGGGGCAAAACAGTCCACAATGCCTGAAAAGAAATACAAATTGAGTTAAGAAATGAGAAATACATAAAAACTGAGAAAGTGGTACCAAATAGACTAATTAGCAATCCTAATGACATATTATAGATGGCATGTGGATTGGGTGGTAAAAAAGTTGAGGCACGCGAATTGGATGGTATATAATCTAAATTCTCCATAAAAAAGAATGCTGATTGTGGTATCTTGTAAGTACTTCACTATACGATCTTCAAAGCTGGGTCCAAATTCTTAATCCAAGTTTCAGCCAAACTTCATTGCACATTTGCATACCAGCCGACTATCATTATTGAAGAAATTAACCATATCTCTAACAGATAATTACATAATCCAGTTTTAATTTAGTTCATGTCACTTGCAAGAGGAACTTTACATGATAATATAGACTGTTGCCTAAGATTTTTCATTGATAATTTTTTATGTAATCTGCGGTACTCTCTGCCCCCCCAAATGGATCTTTCATTTTCCACACACGAATGTACAAACCAGAGGTCCCATTAAAAGCGTGTTCAATTAATCCTCATGAGGAGGGATTGGAGAAAATTGAGGGATTAATTTCACACCTCAATAGTTATGTAATAAATAAATCATCTCCAAATCTCCCTCGATCCCTTTTGGGGATTAACCAAAAAAGTGAAGTAAGCCAAAAAAAGTAAATCTAACAAACAGAACATGTAATGGTACAGTTAAAAGGTAACGAAAACATCGGCAAACGAGAAAAAAAACAAGTAAAACAGATCGAGCACTACACCTTACCAAGAAGCTTTACCACCAGGGACGGGGAGACGTACGTACGGCTTCACACGACCAATTGCGACGGCAGAACTAGGGTCACCCACGTTTAATTTGTTGGAGTCTCCTGTCCGCTTGCGCTACGTACGGACTCTCCCTGGCTCCTCACGTAAGCCCATCTGGCCCAACCACGGCCTTCCAACCTGCCCCTAGCTGGCTAGCTAGGGCTGCGTGCCACCGTGACCTGACCTAGACGGAGACGGCCGGGCCCGGGCGCGCGAGGGGACGGCGACGAAGCTCTCGTTGGGCGCACATGGAGATTGAGGACGGCTGCGCCAAGGTTCTCCACGGGAAGAAGGAAGAAGCGATCACGATCACGCCCCAAGACGACCGGTGCCCAGATGGCGTCGGCGGGCAAACCGGCGGCGGGGGTCGGCGGCTGCAGCAAGGAAGCCGGAGAGAGACGCCGCGCCGCCAAGAATAATAAGCGCCGCCGCACCGAGAAAGCGGAGGACGCCGACGGCGGCTGCGGCGGTGACGAGGATCAGGTGGTCACCTCCAAGGCGATGGAGGCGGTGTCAGTGCCGGAGGAGGTACTCCGGGCCAAGAAGAAGAACGGCGACCGGCGAGGTCGCAGCAAGGAAGCCGAAGAGAGGCGCCGCGCCAAGAAAGCCGCCGACAAGAAAAGGAGAGCAGCCGCCAAGAAGCTCCGCACCGAGGAAGCAGAGGCCGGTCGTGATGACGACGGGGCAAAGGAGGCAGAGGAGGGTACAAGTATTCACTTAAATAGCATCAAATTCTGCTGTCTTTACTGCATACATTGTTGATTTGCCCTGTTCTCTAATCTGTACTGATTCAGTTCAGGATTTCTCAGTTTTGTAGCATTAGAAGGCTCACATAATAAACAGTACCGAACTTTCAGTGGTTACCGCATATCGCATCTCTCTCGCACCGTTGTTTGCTGCGTTTTCTTTAACCTGCATTAATAACTGTGCTCACTTACTTTTTTTTTCTACTTTCCTCCAGGACGTCCACCTAATTAATGCAGGAATGATTAACCATGTTAATTACAGACAAACCCATAGTAATAGACTTCCCCTAGTCTATAGTACTACCACCACCTGACAACACGGAATTCAAATAGATCTGGACGCTGATCAATTCAGAATACATTTTGGGACCATTGATGAGTACTTGTTGAAATGTTTATGAAGCTTAGACCTAGTTTAGTTCCTAAAATTTTTTCCCAAAAACATCACATTGAATCTTTAGAGACATGCATGGAGCATTAAATATAAATTAAAAAAAAACTAATTGCACAGTTAGGGGGGAAATCGCGAGACGAATTTTTTTTTGACCCTAATTAGTCCATGATTAGCCATAAGTACTACAGTAACCCGCATATGCTAATGATGGAATAATTAGGCTCAAAAGATCCGTCTCGCGATTTCCAGGCGAGTTATGAAATTAGTTTTTTCATTCGTATCCGAAAACCCCTTTCGACATCCGATGTGACACCCAAAAATTTTCTTTTTGCGAACTAAACATGCCATTACTTTTCGATGGATTTGGTCTCATGTCGAAATTCTTCCTAAGCTGTTTAGAATTATCAAAACGAGTCAGTTACCTCATCCACTACGAGTCTCAGTTTTGGGTCTTGTGTAATTATGTCATGAGCTAAACCCAGGGGAAATGTGCCTTGGGGCTGTTCGTAGGACATCCACTCATATATACTCCCTGCGTCCTATAATATAAGTGATTTTGGTTGGATGGAACATATTATAGTACTACGAATCTACCCTGTCCTGATTCCTAGTACTAGAATATGTCATATCCAACCAAAAGCCTTTATATTATGGGACAGAGGGAGTATTCGATAGTCGTTATCGTTTAATTAAGAACCGGGTTTGTTTATATTATTCTGCCAATTGTAGTTTCGACGCTAGTTCGATTTGTGGAACCCAACTTGTGAGATTCATCTTATATTCGCAATATATTCAGATTGCATCTTCTACTCTTTTGCTTATGCTTTCAATTTGCTTGCAGGAGATGGGTTAATTGGATTCATAAAAAGAAACTAATAGATGAAAAGGAGTTGGAAGCTGTCGAAACAAGATTTCAGCAATACTAAAAGGGGTGGCTATCAAGCTAGAAAAGTGGATGGGTTTGAAGACAAGGAATTTTATACAGGTTCAGGCTTCCTTATTCAAGAAGTAATACCCTACTCCTGTCCGGGGATGATTCCGCCGAGTGTATTATTGATCGTATGATCTGGGAGAAAATCGTGTCCCGAGAGGGACCCGGACCCCTCCTTATATAGGGGAAGGGGTCCGTATTACAAAATACAGTCCATATCCCTAACGGAATATGTGATTACAGATAAAATACAATCGTAACCGACTAGGATCCCGGGTATTTCCTTGACATACAAGTTTAGAAACTAACCCGAGTCCTCATAAAGATATTCTATCTATATTCGGTACCCTGTACCCAACTAGACTATAACTGCCGTGTAGATATGGGGTATCCATAATCTCCACAGTAGCCCCCGAGACCTTTGCAGTCGATGAAATAGCCTTCTCCGAACAAAAAGCAATAATCCGAGTGCTTCAATTCCTCCTGCTCTGGTCTGCCGAGTACTAAAATCAAAGACTGTGAAGGGCGAAATAAAACATGGTGCATCGAGTAGATGCACCTAATTAGGTGTAGCCCCCGAGTATGTGGTTAGTTAAAAAACTAAACATGTAGTCAAGAACCGAGTGGTTTTACAACCAAACATCATATAGCAAAGCATGCGTGGTATTCAATAAAACACCCAGCCGACTGCTTCTTAGCTTTAATATATCGAGAATAGAAATATGAAAAGGCCCGAGTGACAAACACTCAAAAGATCCACAAATAGACATATTTTACAAGAATCCGAGTAAGAAACTCTTAAAATGATCCGCCAAATATGATAAAAACCATGGTAATTAAAGAATCTAATAGCCTAGGCTATGACTCTTACCACAATCAAAATAAGCATATAACATGCCAAGAGAATGACTCCTAATAAACTAGTCATCTCAAATCAACCCAAACAGCTTTTGCAGCCTAATAAAGCTTACAAAAATAGTATAACACCTTTTTGTCGGGCACCTTTTTATTTGCATCATAATAATTCCAAAGAATTATCTAACCGCGTTAAAAAGGATTTTAGCAGCATCGGGTCACATCATTGTGAGCACAAATTGCCAAAGCAAAAAGCGCCTAAGTCCCTAGGGATCACAACGGGCCACGCTGGTAATAATATTGGGCTGAAGTATTGTACAGGCCCAGGCCCATTAGCACTCCCGATACCCTAACAAAACACCGAAGTCCAAGCGACGCTTCGTCTTCCCCGCCGAGACTCTCGCCATTTCCCCATTCCTCGCTACAGTACAAAACTGCGCCGACGAAGCTAGGGTTCATCAATCCGCCCCAATCCATTCTCAAAAATCCCATGAAACTTCTCCGAGCGTCCACCGCACCGATTCCCCATCCCCCTCCAGCTATATCTCGGACCAAATCAGACCATTCAGCTCGCATTCATGGCGGAAGAGAGAGAAAGTTTCGAGAGTCAGTGGGCGCCCTCCGATGTGGCGGAGGAGAATCTGAAAGAAATGGTGGCGCACAACGTTCTTCCAGCGAAGGAGATCATCGGGTGGCGACCAGCGTTCGGCGAAGTGTTCCCGACCCCGGATACACACGAGGTCGTGGTATTTTCTCACTTCTTTTATGGCGGATTTTCTCTTCCAACTTCAAGATTCTTCCGAGGAATTCTGAACTTCTATGGAATTAGCCTGCATCATTTGAATCCAAACTCCATAGTGCATATCGCCAATTTTATTCATGCCTGCGAAGCTTTTCTGGGCATTAGGCCTCATTTTGCTTTGTTCCGCCGCATTTACTTCCTCAAGCCCCAGCCGAACAAGAGCAAACCATGCGTTGTTGGGGGCGCTGGTTTCCAACTCAGAGGAACACTAAGCCAAAAGTATTTCTCCATGCCCTTCAAGACGTCAAACAAAGGCTAGCACGCAAACTAGTTTTACGTTCAAAATCTTGAACCCGCACTCCCCGAGTACTCCTGTCTCCCTCCGGTCTATTAGGACACATGGAATTCATTGCCTATGGGAGATGAAGCTGCTCAGGCAGTGGAATTGATGGAGCGCATGATAAAGCTGAAGGAACAAGGTTTGCAAGGAGAACAGATCACTCGGCACTTCATCAAAAGTCGGTTAGCTCCAATCAAAGAGAGATCCCGCACGGCTTTTGAGTTTGACGGCAAACATGATCCAAATCGTGAAGATCTAGACTCTCTTGACTTTAAGGTCATGAAGGAAAGAATGTACAAGATCTTCTCAAATGCTATCGTCGTCAGCTATTCACATCTGCTGCCAGTTGTGCCATACAATGCATTCAACCCTCCTCCACCGGTATGGATTCAAACACTTCAACCTTCCTCAAAATATGATCTTGTCTTCTTGTTGAATCAGTTGACAGTGGAAGATATTATGTCTAGGAATTTGCTTTGATGAAGTCGGATCCCCCAATCGCTCAGCGCCGATCACCCCGCCGTCAAATTGGTCAGGGGAGCGGGGAACCAAAGATCCGGTCTGAAGCCCAGTCGAATACCTCTAATCCAGTCGGCCAGTCGGATTCCCGCAAGAGGAAGTTAGTGCTGAGTGACGACGAAGGCGATGACGCTAAAAAGCCTGGAGATAGAGAAACAACCAGAAAACTGCCGAAGCAAGCTATTCCAAAGAAGAAAACATCCAGTCGTCCTATGCCGAAGATCAGGAAGTCTTCCAGGTACAAATCATATAACGATCTTCCTTGTTTCGATGCTCACTTATCATGGAAACAACGCTGACAGTACAACTCAAACTTGTAGAAAACCATCTGACATAGACCCTTCTGGGAAAGACTCTGATCCGACTAACTTGGACACGAGTTCTTCCAAAGAAACCGGGCCGACTGCTGAGGATCATCCGAGTGACAATCAGCCGGCAACCGATAATGTAGGATCCGGTGATCAACCCCTGACTGGAAACCAGTCGGTCGAAGCTGAAGCCGGAGTTAATCAGGAGCCCCTGACTAGAAACCAGTCGGACACAGGGCCAAGCCAAGAGATTCCAGAAGTCGAAGCCCAAGCAGACAACCCTCGTGGTCAAGACGCCAGCAATGACCGGAGATCTGGATCTCCTTCAAAGGCATCCGAGTCCACTCGTCCTCGTCCAGAAATCATCACAGGTAAACACTTTGTCTGAAATCACTTTGATCTAACTGACTCTATGTGATTGTTCGACCTTTTTCCATGGATGCATTAGGACCAATGATTGGTGATGAAGAGGAAATTCTCCGGATACGGGTGGCTGAAGATTCGCGCCCTCCCATTCTGGTCAAGTGGTGGGATGACGATTTGCAACCTCAAGGAATTGTGATAAACTGGCAAAAAGAGGACGAAGAGGTGTGCCTACTGAAAAAGGCACTCGGCCAGGCGACTCGCATTGTAAACGTAAGTTCCTTGACGCCTGACCTCAACCATCTTGTTCGCTATCTAGCTCAAACGCTAATAAAACTGTTTTGTAGAGGATTCATCTTAGGAATGAAGCGAAAACCGCGACCCTAGAAAAATTAGTCCCTCATCTTGGAACCCTTGAAGCTGTCAGAGATCAGCTACACGAGGCAAAAGAGCTTGCCAAGAAAACCGAGCACGATCTGTCGCGACCGAGAAAAATACATTTTCCCGAACGCTAGTGTATTAATCCCCGTCCCAGGAAAAGCCGGGGTACACCACACAAACATGATACAAAAGACACATCTTTATTATATCGATAATATTTACATTATTACAAAGGCATTTAAGGCCTGACAATCAAAAATAAACAG